TCTTTTGGGAAGACAAAGAACCAAGGAACCTGACACATATGGTGCCATGACTTAGACCTGGCTCTGATTGCTGCAGAAACACTAAGCCACCAACCTCTAGATGTCTTTTTACTGGGTACTATCAACCTATTGTGCCTGAGGCCCTGTTGCCATTGACATCTCTATTAGATCAAGTGGGACAAAGATTTCTCAGAGTTAATTTGCCATCAAGTGCCTCCTTTTTGGCTAAAGCAAGGAGACTTAAAACTCCCTATTCAAACCCCTTGAGGATCTGGACTCAGAAATCTTTGCCCCTGTCCAGAAACAGTCCAAGTGGTGATGCAACACCTCAAAGCAAAAGGGTTTCAGAGTTCCAACTCACTGAGGGGGTAATGTTAGAGCAGGCAACTAGGTAAGCATGATCAAGAGAGGTGGGGAAAGGAAATTCAAGTTCTGCCCCTGGACAGTACCCAACTGGCTGTTACATACCCAGCGACCGCCTTCTTGTGGTCAGATAGCTTCTATCAATCTGGAGAAAATGGATAATCTATGCTGTAAACATTTCCAGCATGACAAAATTAGTGTAGGCACACTGATCTATGGCAGGGAAGCACAAAAACTGCCCCAGATAAATAATTCATGGGGTATAAGAATCTCAAGCAGGCCATAAAAGCCCACAACACAGAAGACACAAAGCCATTTCCTCTTCTGGAAGTTGCTGCTCCACATGCCTCTGAGCATTATTTCCATTTCAGGAAATAAACCCTTTTTGTTTGCTGGGKTTTTTTTTTTKKGGGGGGGGGTTACTGGATTAAGCGCAGAAGTGCTTTACCACTGAGCTACATCCCCCAGCCCTTTTATTTTTTAATTCTTTTGATACTTAACTTCTGAGCCAAAAAAAATCAACCCTTTTTATTTTGAGACAGAATCTTCCTAAGTTGTTTAGGGCCTCATTAAGTTGCTGAGGCTGGCTTTGAASTTGTGATCCTCCTGCCTTAACTCCCAAGCCTCTGGGATTACAGTCATGTACAGCTCCAGACTGGTCTTGAATTTGCATTCCTCTTGTTTCAGCCTCTCAAGTAGCTGGGATTACAGGCTCCGGCCATTGTGCCCCTACACCATTCATTTTAAATGATAACGCCCACTCCCCACCCCCTGCACCCCCAATTTTGTGTTTTGGATTCTGGGGAATCAAGCCAAGGGCTTTGACTATGCAAAACATTGTTCTTATCACTGGAGCTACACCCTCAGTCCAAAAAAGAAAATTCTGGCTAGTCTTCAGAGTCATTCGTTTTTCTGAACACCAATGCCAACAACACTTAGGAAATGGCATTTTGCCTGGCACAGTGGCACATGCCTGTTAATTCCAGGGGCTCAGGAGGCTGAGACAGGAAGATCACAAGTTCAAAGCCAGTCTCAGCAATTTAGCAAGGCCGTAAGCAATTTAGCGAGACCTTGTCTCAAAAGGGCTGGGGGTGCTGGGGATGTGGTTCAAGGGGTAGCGCGCTCGCCTAGCATGCATGCAGCCTGGGTTCCATCCTCCGCACCACATATAAAATAAAGATGTTGTGTCCGCCAAAAAACAAATATTAAAACTCTCTCCCTCTTTAAAAAAATTAAAAAAAAAAAAGGGTTGGGGATGTAGCTCAGTGGTAAATTTTCCCTAGGTTAAATCCCACTACCAAAAAAAAAAAAAAATTGCATGATGAGTTGCGTACTTTTTTTTTTTTTCAAAATAGGAGATCTATGGGAAAAGGAGGAGGCAGGAACAGAGAACTAGTATTATACCACTGATCTTAGGCAGATTGATTTTATTTATTGTATTTATTTACTTTTTGCAGTACTGGGGATCAAACGCAGGATCTCACAAATGCTAGGCAAATGCAAATTATATGCAATGTTCTCATAGGCTACATGAAGTACTTTTATTTTTGATATGTGGGTCTTGCTATGTTGCCTAGTCTGGAACTTGTGGGTTCAAGTGATCTCCCCACCTGGCTGCCCAAGTAGTTACATACACTCCCTGTTTAAAGAGACTTTTTTTTTTCATTTTTATATTTTTGCAGTTATGGGGTTGGAGCCCAGTGTCTCACACATACTAAGCAAGTGTTCTGTTAGCAAGGGACTTTATTTACTTATTGGTACTGAGGATTAAACCCGGGGTCTCATGCATACTGGGCAAGAGTTCTAACACTGAGGTACATGCCCTGCCCTTTTCACTTTTTTAAAAAAATATTTTTTAGTTGTAAATGAACACAATACCTTTATTTATTTTTTTTTTAAATTTTTAGTTGTAGATGAACACAATATCTTTATTTTATTTTTTATGTTTTTCTGAGGTTTAAAACCAGTGCCTCATGCATGTGAGGCAAGCACTCTATCACTGAGCTACAACCTCAGCCCTTATTTATCTTAATGTGATGCTGAGGATTGAATCCAGGGCCTCACACATGCTAGGCGAGAGCTCTACGGCAAGAGCTCTACCACTGAACCACAACCCCAGTCCCCCTTTTCACTTAAAAAGAAAAAAAATTATTCATTTTTTGTGGTACTGGGGATGGAATGCAAGGTCTCACAGAAGCTGGGCAAGTGCTCTACAACTGAATCACATCCTCAAACGTTCTTTTTTTTGAGACAGTGTGCCCCCCAGGCCTGGTTCCTTCCCTGTGTATATGCTGTTGAAATTTAAGATTGCCACCTTGAAACTTCCCAAGTTTCTAGTAAAAGCCAGGTGTGGTGGTACATACCTATTATCCCAGGTACTCTGGAGGCTGAGGCAAGATCAAAGTTTGAGGCTAGATGAGCAACTTACAAAGATCCTGCTCAAAATAAAATGAAAAGGGGTGGGGATATAGCTCAGTGGTAGAGTATTTGTCTAGCATGTGTGAGGATCTGGTCTCCATCCCCAGTACAACAACAACAACAAATAAGGGCTAGTGGATTTTGGCAATTAGGATTCCATAGTAAGCCATCCAAGGTTTTTGAGAAGGATGATGATACATTTTTTTAAATTATTCTGACAATTTATGAAATATGACTATAGTCAGAAAACACTGTCAATATTAGTCTTAAAATTAGATTTTGAGATCATGGATGTAATCATGTATGATTTTTTTTCGCCCCAACACTGGGAATTAAATCCAGGTCTCTTGCATGCTAGACAAGCACTCAAGCACTGAGCTGTAGCCCCAGCCCCTGTTCAACAATGACATTTGGGGTAGGGGTGGGGTGCTGGGATTGAACCCAGGACCTAGCAAATGGTAAGCACAAGTTATATCATTAAGTCACACTGCTAGCCTGACTTTTCCTAAAGCATATAACCAATCCCTAACTGGCCTGTTTTATTGGAAGCATTTAGTAACCCTTTCCAGGCACTTCAGTCATTACTCCCTATTAATATACCTCTTAGCTGCTGTCAGTTGAATATTTATATTTAGCACCTATAAGTCTGATCTTCCCTGCTTCTGTGTATGCTCAGGCTGTTCTCTGCCATTTATAAAACTGCCTGTCTGGATTTCACCTGAGAAACTTCAGTGCTCTCTGTAGCCTTCTTTGTTGCAAACTGAAAAATATTCACAATCTGTAGTTACATTCTCTTTATTGCCCCCACTTTGGGAGTAGCCAAGAAATTCAACAAGTCTTTAAAATGTCAAAATGTGGAGCTGGGGTTAGCTCAGTGGTAGAGCACTTGCCTCATACATGTGAGACAGTGGGTGTGGGAGGCACTGGGTTCCATCCTCAGCACCACATATAAGTAAATAAATATATTTTTTAAAAAAGGAAAAAGAAACATGCAGAAACAATTTTTTGTTAAATATATTTATTTTCTAGTTATAGGTGGACACAATGTCTTTATTTTATTTTTATGTGGTGCTTAGGATCGAACCCAGTGCTTTACGCATGCTATGCGAGCGTTCTACCTCTGAGCCTCAACTCCAGCCACAGAAACAATTTTTTTTAAAATTGTTACAACATGAATGGTGTACTCCAAGAAATAAACTATTTGACCAGTATCTTTATATCCGTGTGGATTTTTAAAAAATCATTTTCATTCTTCTTACCCTAACCACTAAGTTCTTAACAAAACATACCGTTTGAAGTAAATATTTACAGTCCACAACACAAATCTTTATACCTGCAAGCATGAGAAGGGTCTTTTCAGTCTTTTTTTATGGGTAAAAATAAAACCCAAAGGTATTATTCTGTGTATAACCTTCTCTTAGTTCTCAAACACTAGGAGTCTTCTGTTAGCAGTGGGTTTAAGAGCTGAAACTGATTACTTTTACACCGTTTGTTCACTTCCTCTGCCTCATTCCTTGCCCGAGACAGGAGCAAAAGACAAGTAGTCAGTAAATGATCGGGTMAGAAAGATGAGGGCTGATTTCGAGGACCCGATCCTCCCAAGATACACATCACCCCTATGTCTAGCCCAATACATTCGTTAAAAGTGAAAGATCTGGAGAAGAAAGCAATGGCTTGAGCCAGATGCCTGAAACATTCTACTGGTAGCTTCAGGTACGCTAAGTAGTTCCTTTAAAGGTCACAACAGCCCAGCAAAATGTTATCGCAGTCTTATGTTCAGGCTTAAACATTAGACCTCAGGTCATACACTACATCCCTGCAAAGGACAGAAACATCTTTTATGGTAATCACATGGGGAAGTAGGGTCACTGATGATAATCCTTTGAAGAATCTTAAAACAGCGAACTCGGCGGAGACCTCCGACACTTCCCCGGAGCTAGACACTGAAAAGCCCATTGCGGCGGTGCAAAACTGTTTCCTGCCCGACTCTCGCGAGAAGAAACTAGGTCCCCAGACGAAACGCTAAAACATACAGATTGGGCCTAGAACGTCCTTCCCCATCGTCCCCAAATCCTCCCGGGAAATCTAACAGTCGGGCAAAGGAGGCCACCTCGACGAGTCCAGCGCGCAGAGAACGCGCGGAACCAGGAAGAGGAATAGCTAGCCCACCCAAGTGTTTCTGATTGGCTGCCGGCTTAGCTTGGAACGCTGGGGCGTATGACGTCACATCCGCCGAGCCCGCCATCTTGTTCCCAGGGGCAGTTGGCGGAAGAGATCGCGCTCCCTGGCCACCGGCTWGCCTTCTTCCTGGAGTTCTCGTAGCCCGTGTCTCGGTGTCTGCTCTCGGCCCGGGGTCCATTTTCGGGGTCAGGGTTGCCCTCTCTCGCCTTGCTGGGGCACAGCGAGGCGGCCCCCTTTTCYGACGGCATTCCATGGAGTAGGGTCCCGGACCGTTGTCCCGAAGAGCGAGATCGAGCTTCGCCCCCTCCCCCCTCCCTTCTCCCTCCCTCCTTCCTTCCGTCGCAACATGGCTAACAACAGCCCCGCGCTGACAGGCAACTCGCAGCCGCAGCACCAGGCAGCCGCAGCCGCGGCCCAGCAGCAGCAGCAGCAGTGCGGCGGCGGCGGCGGCGGCGGCGCCACGAAGCCGGCGGTCTCGGGCAAGCAGGGCAACGTGCTGCCGCTGTGGGGCAACGAGAAGACCATGAACCTCAACCCCATGATCCTGACCAACATCTTGTCGTCGCCTTACTTCAAAGTGCAGCTCTACGAGCTCAAGACCTACCACGAGGTGGTGGACGAGATCTACTTTAAGGTACGAAGCCTCTAGGCCTTGGGCTTGGGGGTAAGTTCAGAAGAGGTATGGAGGAAACCGGCGGAGGCGGCCCCCGAGATCTGAGGATTTGTGGGTGGGGGAAGGTCGGGCGGAGGGGGAGCTGTCGCCTGTAGCCTGTCAGGGAGGGGTCGGGCTGGGGCCGCCCTCTCGTTTCCTTTTCAGATTTTAGAGCCAGGAGAGCCCGCCACTTTCGATATTTCTCTTCCCCCAACCTCCTGCCTACCCCTGGGGGATGTTGGGCAAGAGGGATAGGGGAAAGGAGAAATGAGTAACAGAAGTCTCTCCAGTTCACAGCTTTAAATTTGTTCCTTTTGACATGGATCTACTAGGCGCCAACTTGGTGCTTCTCCCGCTCACCCGGGCCAGGGCATTTAGTGACTTCAATGTGGGCCTCGTGTTGTTGGTACTGTCCAATCCAGATAGGGACATGGTCAGTGCGTGTGTCGGTTGGGGTGGGAGGGATGGGGGTGGAGAGGTGCCAGTGCAAGATGTGTACAGAAGGCCTGGAAATTTTCCCAGCAGGAAGTCAGGAGTAAGCGGTCTCAGCCACCTGTGCATTGGGCATATTTAGAATTATCTGGGCCCTGGGCTTCTGCGGCAGGGTCGGTGCTGGCTTGGCTGTGCTGGGGAGCTCACCTGGCGCCTCCTCACTGCACTCTTGTCTCAGTTCTTGTTTCGTTAGCAGGATTGACTCAGTCTTGCAGCGAGGCTCGGAGCAGCCCAGGGTCGCAGGTAGAGGTATGCACTATTAATCATGCTCAATCGCCATAAATGCATTTCCCTGGTTAAATGAACAGCTAATTAGACTTTTTTTTTTTTTTTTTTTTTGGGCCATTGGTTTTGGTCTTCATCAGTAGATAGACTTTTTCCACTTCCCTGCAAATTATGTAGTATTAAAAATACCTTCCAGGCCTCCAACCATGGATTTGTATTTTAAAGAGAATTAATAATAGCCTCAACAGTTTTTACAAACGTTTTAGCTAGAGCATTTACAGTCTTTTGTCTGTAAAGTTTGAGACAGATCACGTCTTTTCTGTCATCCGAACATGTGTGAAGATGTTAATAAAAGGACATTTCTCTATTTGTTTTGCTGCCTTTCCCCCCAATAATTGTTTAGATTATTTCAGGATTTTGAGATATTAGTTGCTTTTTTATAGAAAACATTTTGAGGAATACAGTTCAACCCTGGGCATGTAGAGAACAGAAGTAAATTTAATATTCTCTTAAAAGAGTCTTGAGAAGGTGTAATTGTTATACTGTGAACTAGCTTTAAAAAAAAAAACAACACAAAAACTAGCTTTTAAAAGGTAAGACCTTTTCAACATGGATGCAATATGTCTAATAATATTTAATACACTATTCTATGCAGTAAACTTTGAAAAGCTRTAAATTGGATTTCTGCTCCTTTTGTGGCAGTTTCTGTTTTAAAATCTAGTTTATGTAGTAGGGGGAAAACTTTCATACGTTGTGTTTTGAAACAAAGATCTACCAGGAATTATTTTTAAGTTAAGTTTAAAACTAAAGACCCAGATTTTGTCATTAATATGGTTGTATCAAATAATGAAATATGTAGACCTCTAATTTTGTACTTATTTTTTATTTATTTATTTTTGGTACCAGGGATTGAACCATTTAGCCACATCCTCAGCCCTTTTATTTTTTTATTTTGAAGTACTTTAATTTTGTTTTATTTCTATCCCTTGACTACTCTTTTGAGGAATTGAAACATTAACACAGCAAGCTGGGGAAAAGAAATAGTTAAGTACTCCAGGAGTTGAGCAAAACAGTGTAGTACTTGAGTACCACTAAAAAGCAGTATAAAATAATACCATGTGTGGGTGGAAATACACTTTCAGAAAGATAATAGAATGAAAGAACAGGATTTTTTTTAACAACAACAACAACAAAATGAGATCTTTCCAAAAGACTTCTTGGCTTCTATTTTATAGTTAAAATTCTTTTTATTGCTATTTTAGATAAAGCTATTTTTGTAGGGTGGTCCTTTAGCAAAAAGGATACTGTATCATGTTTGATTTTACTTAGTGTATATTAATGGCTATTCACACTCCATTTCTGATACAGTTTATGTCTTGGGGGGAAATTTAGATTGGTTCACATAATTAGGCTGAAAATGAATTGTAAGAATGATCTCTGTAAAGTGTGACTTTTGTGGTTTTATCTTTAATCAGGAATAAACTTGATTCTTGTGGAATAATGTGCAAATAAAAGTTCTATTATTTTGCATTTTACTTTATTTTATCATGTAAATTTTTTTAAATCATAAAGTAGAAATATTGAGGGCATTTTTTTCACACTTCATTTTAAAATGAGTTTTTTTAAGCAATTTATAAATAAAAGGCTGAATAGTATCAAATATATTGTGCAAATTGATGAAGGCTGTAGACATTTCCTGACTCCCACATATGTAGAAATTAGCTGTGCATAAAGCTAGTTTAATGGGATTTCTGCTCTGCCAACACATTAAGGTTTTATTAAATCCTGGTAGTTTTATTGGTATTCTTTAACTGTCTAAGCAGGTTTTCCAAAGATAATTTACACACTTAATGTGAGTAAACAGTATTTTTGGAAGAGTTGCTCTGTTATGGACTTGGGCTTAATCAGAATTTTTAAAAATTCAGAGTATGAATGTTTGTTGTCTTCCTCTTTTCTATTTTCAGGTCACGCATGTTGAACCTTGGGAGAAAGGAAGCAGGAAAACAGCTGGCCAGACCGGGATGTGCGGAGGGGTAAGTAGAAGTACGTGCATTTTTCAGTTTTTCTGTGTCTGATAATTAAGTTTATTAGAAAACTAAAGTCTGTCCTTATACATTCAAGTGACAATTTGTTGGTGGATCTTAGAATTTGTAAAAAATGTAAACTCAAGGGTCCAGTGAATTGGGTTACAAAAAGTGTTACTGTTAATACTTCATTCTTAGTTCTGGATTATGTCTTGGTTATTAATCCTAACATGATTAGTCAGTGGATGCTAACTAAGCATCTATTAATTATTATACTTTTTTCTTAACTGTTTCCCCTAAAGGTTCGAGGTGTTGGAACAGGAGGGATTGTTTCTACAGCTTTTTGCCTGTTATACAAATTATTTACTCTGAAATTAACTCGCAAACAAGTGATGGGTCTTATAACACACACAGACTCTCCATATATCAGAGCCCTTGGATTTATGTATATAAGGTGAGCATGTATTTCTGTATTTTTAATAAATATCTCGTTGTAATTCACATAATTTTTTTGTTGTTGTTATTGTTGTTTTTGTACTGGGGATTGAACCCAGAGGTACTTTATCACTGATATATCCCTATCCTTTTTATTTTTCATTTTGAGATGGGTTTTGCTTAGTTGCCTAGGAACTTGCTGAGGCTGGCCTTGATTACAGTCCTCCTGCCTTAACCTCCTGAATCATTGGGATTACAGGCATGCACCACCTTGTCTGGCTCACATAAGCTTAATAAATCTTCCTTGCAATTCTAGGTATACGCAGCCCCCTACAGATCTTTGGGACTGGTTTGAATCCTTCCTTGATGATGAAGAGGTATGTCAGCAAGGGTAATAATTAGTTTTTTCTAATTACTTTTATTTTTAATATCTTTTCATTGGAGATTTAATGTCTTCAAGAATTTTCTGTAGTTATTTCAGACATACTTTCAGAACTAAAGTCYTTTCACTAGGACTTGGTGGCTTTTACATATCTTATGTTAAATTTAGTATGTTTTGTTTTGTTTTTAAATTACTTAAATGTTTTTATAATTATTAGAAAATTTCTCTTCCTAATTAGTTTCTGTATATTGTATTGGTCCTAACTTGTACAGTTGATAGTGACTTTGAGGTGGGCTGTGGTCCAGATGGAGGTGATAAAAGACATATAACAGAAAATTAAATGTATCCTTTTTTTCTTGTGGAACTTTTAGTTCTTCACTCTAACTTCTAAATACAAATATTCCTACTTGCATAGAAATGCAAAATTGTAGAGCTAGGCTTGACTTAAATAGGCTGAGAGTTTGGATGGTTGGTTGAAGGTGACAAAACAAGAACTTTTAATTCTGAATTTCTCATTTTTTGAGACGGGTCTTGCTGTATTTCCCATACTCTCCATTCTCCTGCATCTGCATCTCAGTAGCTGAGATTATAGGCATTTGCTACCACCATGCCCTGCTAAATCTAGCTTTCTGGCTCCTAGCACATCACACATTTAAAACAAGACAATACTATTCTAGATGTTTTTAAAATTCTAAATCCAGTTTGCCATCTTGAGTTTGTTAACATGTTTAGAAATTACTTTAGGAAACTTGACTAAGTCCAATTTAAATCCTACTTATACGAATTTGCTTACATATTGAAGTCTAGGATATCAAAATGTACCCATGTATTATACCATGTTATCTCTTCTCCCCATTACTTTGTATTTTAAGGTTCATAAAGTAGACTCTGATATAGCAGTAGTCCTATTTAAAAAGTTCAAAGAATTTGTTGAATTAAAAGATGGTTCCAATGGAAATATTTTTGTTTGCCATTATATTCACATCAAAAAAATGACACATTTAGACATAGAGGATTTAGTCTTTCTCTACCTTTTTTTTTTTTAACCTGTTTACTGAACTGCTTGATAATCGGAAGACACAAAAATTATTTTAGGTGATAATCACAACCTTTTAAAGATTTTTTTCCTCTTTATAAAAGCTTTTTTTTTTTTTTTGGTTGTAGATGGACACAATACTTATTATTATTGTTATTGTTATTATCATTATTATTTATGTGGTGCTGAGGATCGAACCAGTGACCCATATGTGCAAGGCAAGAGCCACAACCTCGGCCCTATAAGAGCTTTTTAAGACCAAAATGCTTCTCCCTTCTGACTATAAAAAAGCGTGTCCTTTTTAATTGTATTAGGTTTGTTTTTTAATGGTTCTATTTAATCTGTTTTTTATTGTGCTTACAAACCTGAGGTCCTCTGTTTAAGCTAACTTATGTTTTCTTCCTTAGATATCTGCAGCGATTATATTTGGAAATACTGTAAATCTGAACACTTAAATGTGTGTGAGTGCAAGCAGTTTTACCTTTAGCTCTTGTTTTCCTGTTTAGATAACAAATCTCACTTTCCTTGTGTGCTTGCACTATAGGTTTGGGACTGACAATAGCTGACTAACATGTCCTGAGCTGTGAGAGGGCATAGCAAGAAGGCCTTCATGCGGTAATGACCCTTTTCAGAGACAATGGTCATCATGGATTATGCGTTTCCAATTATTTGTTCATTTATTTATTTTCTACATAACTAAATTAGAAACCTCACTGCTTCATGGCAGTTGGTTTGCTATTGCTTCCAGTTTTATTAGGGCTTCATTTTTATATTACAGCTGTTAAAAAGATAACCTTTAGACAGAAATTGTCTGAAATAGTTCATATGTAGTTAGGTTACAGTGCTAGGTATGATGTGTGCAGATGTATCCACAGAAATATGTACTTAGTAGGTATGTGGAATGTAAATTAAGTCCTTTGTTCCACATAGTTTAGTAGTATAAGGTGCTTTTTCATATTATTACCTGAGTGAGATCAGTTCCCTTTATGCCYGTGAGGCTGCAGGATTTGTTCTCACCTGCATGTATACACTAAGCCCAAATATTTTGCAATGTGTCATTCATTATCAGGTTAGGATACAAAATTGAAAGTTTTCTGTTAGAATTTTTTTGTATTTGATTCCAAAGATGGTAATGTGTTTTTTTAGTATTCATGTTTGTGTTGAAATGCCTTTTTTTTCTTTTTGCTTTTTTATTTTTTATTTTTTGACCATTAGGGTATCTTTTGTGTTTCATAGGACCTAGATGTGAAGGCTGGTGGAGGCTGTGTGATGACCATTGGAGAAATGCTGCGGTCTTTTCTCACAAAACTGGAGTGGTTTTCTACACTGTTTCCAAGAATTCCAGTTCCAGTTCAGAAGAATATTGATCAACAGATTAAAACGCGACCTAGAAAAATCAAGAAAGATGGAAAGGAAGGTGCTGAGGAGATAGAYAGACATGTTGAACGCAGACGTTCAAGGTAGACGTAACAAATTGTAAATTTATTCCTTTTTATTAGGGATTGAATCCAGGGATGCTGTACTACTAAGCTACATCCCCAGCTTTTGGTATTTTTTTTTAATATTTATTTTAGTTTTCGGCGGACACAACATCTTTGTATGTGATGCTGAGGGTCGAACCCGAGCCGCACGCATGCCAGGCGAGCGCGCTACCGCTTGAGCCACATCCCCAGCCCCTTTTGGTATTTTTTTTTGAGACAGACTAAGTTGCCACGGCTGGCCTGAGCTTTTAGTCTTCCTGCCTTAGCTTCCCAAGAAGCTGGGATTGTTGTAGACTTATATCACTACACCCAGAGTTTTGTTTTGTTTTTACACAGTCTTGGGAATTAAACCTAGGATCTTGACTATGCTAGACAGTGCTGTCCCACTGAATTACATTCTCAGTCCTTATAATATTTTTTATTCATTGGAATTTCCTTCTTCCTTCTCCATTTCTTAGATCTCCAAGGAGATCACTGAGTCCACGGAGGTCCCCAAGAAGATCAAGAAGTAGAAGTCATCATCGTGAGGGCCATGGGTCTTCTAGTTTTGACAGAGAATTAGAAAGAGAAAAAGAGCGCCAACGACTAGAGCGTGAAGCCAAAGAAAGAGAGAAAGAAAGGCGAAGATCCCGAAGTATTGATCGGGGTTTAGATCGAAGGCGTAGTAGTAGGAGTAGGGAAAGACACAGAAGTCGCAGTCGAAGTCGTGATAGAAAAGGGGATAGAAGGGACAGGGATCGGGAAAGAGAGAAAGAAAATGAGAGGGGTAGAAGACGAGATCGAGACTATGATAAGGAAAGAGGGAATGACAGAGAAAAGGAGAGGGAAAGATCAAGAGAACGGTCCAAGGAACAGAGAAATAGGGGTGAGGTAGAAGAGAAGAAACATAAAGAAGACAAAGATGATAGGCGGCATAGAGATGACAAAAAAGATTCCAAGAAAGAGAAAAAACACAGTAGAAGTAGAAGCAGAGAAAGGAAACATAGAAGTAGAAGTAGAAGTAGAAATGCAGGGAAACGAAGTAGAAGCAGAAGCAAAGAGAAATCAAGTAAACATAAAAATGAAAGTAAAGAAAAATCAAACAAACGAAGTAGAAGTGGCAGTCAAGGAAGAACTGAAAGTGTTGAAAAATCAAAAAAACGGGAACATAGCCCCAGCAAAGAAAAACCTAGAAAACGTAGCAGAAGCAAAGAACGTTCTCACAAACGGGATCATGGCGATAGTAAGGACCAGTCAGAAAAACATGATCGTCAGAGGAGCCAAAGTGTAGAACAAGAGAGCCAAGAAAAACAACATAAAAACAAAGATGAGACTGTGTGAAAAATTTTGTAAAAGTGGATCACATTGAATCCTATAAATGTTTGATTAAATCTGCTTTTTTYCCCCCCGAGTTCAGATTGTGCAGTAGTTATGCACTCTTCAAGCTCCCTGTAGGCTGCATTTTCATTTCTTCTTTTGTGTAGGGAAGTGCCTTTGTAATCCCATTTATTGCATTGATGTTTTCACCCAGTTGTTGAGTTTGATACATGATGCACAAGATTGTTCTTGCATTTTATTGTTTGTTTTTAAAATGTACAGTCTGTACATATGTCCTAAAAATGTTTTAATTCCTTTGGCATGGTTGCCATGTTGGTTAAATTTGTATAAGGCAATAAACTGCCACTAATTCTATTTTTGTTTTGTAGGTGTGGGATTATGGTTTGTGTACTGAAGTTAGCATGGCTGTGCTTTTCGTAATAGGATGCTAAAGACTTTGGGAATGGATCTTGGATATCTTATAGGAGAATTGTGTGCTTTCAAAGTACATGAAGGCAGCAGTTGTAGGATTAACATTCTTGTCCACTGTACATTATCTTGGAAGACTTGTTAATATGTTATACTTAATTATTCTCCACAGTTAACTTTAGAGAGAATTTATGAGAGGTTAGTTTCTGATGCAGAGGTTTAAATTAGGCTGTGATTTGATCAAAAGTCCTTTTAGCATTCTACCTCAAAGGGACACTGTTAGTATGCCTAAAATTTATTCACTTAGTTTTCCTTTTTTATTTGGGGGAAAAAAAACAACATGTAATCTTTTTTCCTTGAATTCTTTCTCAGATTTTTAAAGTACTATATTAAAGAAAAAATTAATGTTTAAAGCCTAGCATTCTTGCAGCAACCCTATACTAACTTGTAATTGGGAGAGGGTGGGGCAGATGAGTAGAGAAACAGATTCAAGCTCAAGCTTCCAAAGCATTTTTATAAATGGAAAAATACTTAAATTATGAAACAGCTTGATATAGTGTCCTTTTTTTAAAATTTAAAACTTTTTTTTATCAATAATGAAGATTGCTATTTGAGTTTTTAAACAATCTAGAACGGAGAAGTATTAAAAGTAATGCTGTGCTGCATTATTTAAGACTATCRGCAAATTATTTGATAGATTGTTCTTATGACTTGTATTCTGATTACAAAGAACATCATGAGTGGAATAAATACTGGATTAAATCCTTTATCCTGGGTGTTGGCTTTTCCCCCATTTGTTAACATTTTTTAAAGGTATTTTTGTTGTGGAAATTGATAAAATGTCAGTAGAGTTAAACTTTGTGCAGAGAGAGATCTTAGTGCCCAGACAACAAGTGGATTTTAAAGAAACTCAGAGACATGYGATAGTTATCCTCATAGTAACGGCAGTTCCCTTTCAGTGGATGTTATGTGCCACTGGGATGATCTTTTGATTGATTAATTTATTCCACATAAAGTATGTTTATTGAAATAATTTCATTTGGGTTTTAAGTATCACTTTAAAATATGAACTTTAAGGACATTTTTATAAGACAGCCCATCTACTTCTTTTTAGAACAGAAAATAGAGGCCCAAAGTGATAGGCTTCATCAGTGCCAGGACTAAGAGTATTCCTGAAAAGTCTAGTGATCTTTCTGTACACGTACCAACATTTTTTATAACCCACTGGTTATATTGGCTAATTGAAGGGTGCACAGAGCCACCTTGTGATAGTGTTAAGTTGAACAAACAAGTCCGTTTGGTAGTGCGCATATACTTTGGAAGCAGAGGTCAGAGGATCTCAAGTTCAAGGCTGGTTTGGCAATTATAGGGAAACCCTATCAAAAATGACTGGGGATGTAACTTTGAGAGYACCACTGGGTTCAGTCCCCAGTGTTATGAAACAGAAAAGATGTTCCATATGTGGGTTTGTGCCTAATTTAAGAAAACTAAATGAAGGAATTAGCTATAAAAATCCTGTTTGGGGTCAGGGATTGGTACTGGAGACTGAACCCAGAGGCATTCTACCCTGGATCTATATCCCCAGCCAGTTTTGGAGACAGTTTCACCAAGTTGTGATMCTCCTGAGTGGCTGGGAATATAGGTGTGTGCCACCACCTCCAGCTTTCCCCCTTCCCCCAAGAGTAGACAATTGAGCATCAAACATACTAGTATAGATAACCTAGAAATTAGAAAAACCTACTTTTGAGTAATGAAAGCCATTAGGGTTACCTTAAATTGAAAATTGGTTTTCTAGTATACCTAAATTCCAGTGCTATTCCTTTGGATATAATTTCACTTGAAGTGTTCAGTGGTATATTTTAAGTAAAACGTGAAAAGTATTTCAAATGAAGATGAAAGTACTACCATAACCTGTTTTTATTTTGATTTTTAATGTAATTTTGCTTTTGAGTGAGGAACATTTTGGTATGTGTAAGATCATCTAAGTACTAGTTAATGCCAAGCATATGCGTGTTTTGTTTGGAGAGTGGCTTCCTAAGACTGTGAGAGATCTCCATCATTTCTTGCAACATGAGATCAAGTTTGAAAAGATTTTAAAGCTTAATATAACTAGAAGCCTCCATCCAGTTTTTGTATACACCTGAAATGATTTTACTTTTCCATGTATTAATCTTGGCATCTGTTTTTTAGTGTTTCATTTGCAATTAAGCCCTATACATGGGTTAGAATATTATCAATCAAAATTTTAATATAAAATGTCCATTTTAATGCCATTTAATTTATAACCATTTGAGTCTGGTTTAGTTTTAGTTTGTTGTAAGGCAATGATTGTGTGTGTGTGGGGGGGGGGGGTTGGGATCAAACTCAGGACCTCGCTGGGCCAGTACTTTACCTCTGAGCTGTATCTCGGCTCCAATTACAGGACCTCTTAATTGGAGATGATTTTATGGCGAAGGAAATGCTTCCTGAAAGTCTCTGCAATTTCTCCTCCTGGCATTCCATCTCTAAAAATTCCACAGAGCTTTGCAAATACTTCCAAAATGACATTTTTCACTTTAGGATCATTGTCTATCAACATTTGTTATTGTTGGGAACATGACAGCATGAATATAATCAACTGAAAATGTTAGCATTGTAGCTAACTTAAAATCCATTTCATTCCTTGGCATCTCGTCACATTGTGGGTCTGGGGTTGTTACTAGGGATTGAATTCGCATGTCTCACAGTTAAGGCAAATTCTCTTCTATTGAGCCACATACCCAGCTTTTTATTTTCTGGGATGGTCTTCCTAAATTGCCCAGACTAGCCTTGAATTTGTAATGCTCCTGCCTCAGCTTAATAAGTACTGAGAATATAGCCATGCACCACCACTCCTAGCAAGAGAAAATCTCCATTAAGTAATATTTACTGTTAAGTAATAATTAAGTGCACAGGTAAAATGTATTTAGATGTATAGGGGAGTGCTATTTCAACCTATTGCAAAAGTGAGTTGAAAGCATTTTATGTGTCTTAGAAGCTGTGAGATTTTGTCACAAGGATTGAGACACACACATATATACATACATGTCTGTATATATTGTAAGGCAATCCTCACATAAACTTCCCTGATCTGTAGTTGCCTTTAAATTGTACCAATCTTCAAGTTGATTTTCCATGGTTTGTGTTCTGGCCATCTCCCCCCTCCCGCAACTCTTTTTAAGTACTGACAATTGAACCCAGGGGTACTTCACCACTGAGCTATATCACCAGCCCTTTATTTTTTGAGACTGTCTTGCTAAGTTGCTAGGRCCTTGCTAAATTGCTGAGGCTGGCTTTGAACTTGCAATAGCTCTTTCTGCCTCAGTTTCCTGAGCCACTTGGATTACAGGCATTTGCAACTGCATTTAACCTGACTGACTGTATGAGTGCAACCTCATTAGGCTGGATGGTGACCCCTGATTTAGTCTAATAAAGGGATCAACCAAAAAAGTTTGCTGAGAATTATATAAGAGAATCAGTCTGTTCCCTCCAGTTTTTTTTAATTCAACATTTATTATTTTTAAATATTTTTTAGTTTTTTTTTAAGGCGGATACAATATTTTTATGTGGTGCTGAGGAGTGAACCCAGTGCCTCATGCATGCCATGCTACCACTTGAGCCACATTCCTAACCCCTATGTATTTATTGAGATGCCAAGGATCAAACCCAGTAGCTCCCCTGTGCTAGGGAAGCGCTTTATCACTGAGCTTCATTCTAAAGCCGAATTATTTATTTCTTGGGTCACTGGAATTAGTCATTTCTACCCCCCACCCCCCCACACACAAATTGCATCAGCCCTGACCCCTAATATCTGAAATATAACTAAATGAAAACAATGTTTCAAGTCATCAGTATTCTGAATTTTCAACTACCAATAGAAGATATTTCTGAAGTGCTTGACTTATCCAATCAGTCCAGATAATACTGGTTTGGTGAACTTTTTTTTTTTCTGAAGTATTCCATATCTGATCCAAGTCCTGGGAATGGAATTATGCTACAGCTTATTCAGGAACAGTCAGTTATTGGTTTGTGCACAAGTGTTATACTGTTGTATTTTTTATTTTCCTCAGTACTAGGGATTGAACCAACGGCCTCACATACTAGGCAAGCACTCTACTGCTGAACTATCAATTTTTATTGGCTTCAGCCAAAAAATTTATATCTACTCTTCATGGCCCTGCTTTGTGATTCTGGGGCTGAGTCTTTTAAATATTTCTCCTTTGCTAGCTGGCATAATGTTAGGCTTGTTGGCAGAGGATGCTTGAGGGATGCTGCAAAAGGAAGGAGCTCTGGTTCCATGGTTTTCTTGCATCTTCATTGTGTAGCAACCAGTATGTCATCCAGTGGTACTCATCCAACAAATTTCAGTGGCATTTCATTGAAGGAAGCAAGGGGAGTTCCTAGCAAATCTACAGGCTGTCCTGCTGGTGCTCCAGCAAGTAACTTCCCAGTGAATCTAAAGCAGCATTCCAATGGGAAGTGTCGTGTCTAGTTTTATTGACATTCCTGTATCTCTAGTCCCAGCCTTCAGTATCTAAGCAAATGGAAGGCCACAGCTGCACTCTCTCCAGAATTCTCTTTACTCTTAGTAATAAATCTGTTACTGATTAAGAATTCATTATGTCAAATGTCCCTTGTTGGAATTACTGTATTTTCTGAATACTGGTTGAACCCTAAAATATATTATTAAGATGATTGGTATTAAGATGATACCAATAATATGAGTACCACCTCATGAGGTTGGATGGTGACCCCTGATTTAGTCTAATATAAAGGGCTCAACCAAGAAAGTTTGCTGAGAATTATGTAAGAGAATCAGTCTGTTCCCTCCAGTTTTTTAAAATTAATTAGTTAATTAATTTAATGAGGTGCCAAGGATCGAACCCAGTAGCTCACCTGTGCTAGGGAAGCGCTCTAWYACTGAACTACAATCCAAGCCCTCCCCTTCTGTTTTGACTAAGAATAAATAAGAATTGACTGGTCCTTAGAAGCCCAAACCAGACTTGCATAGTTGTGGTTTAAGGATGGCCATGTGAAAGAGATAYCATGATGTTTAAGTCACTGTACTTGAAGCTGCCTGGCTTCCTGACGGTTTTCTAGTTTAGTCTAGTTTTGTTTTGTTTTCCAGTCTGGTTAAGTGAATATCCTTACAATTTCTTTATTTTCCTTAAGATGACCTGAGTTTCTCTTCCTTGGAACTAGGAGCCAAACTCTAATTTCTCTATTATAATCATCAGGAATACCTGATCAGTGAGATTCTTCCTGATATTTTCCTGAGACTGAGGGGGCTTTTTGTTGTTGATTGTTTGTTATTGTTTGTTTTTAATTTTCCGACAGGATCTGACAAGGTTGGTCTCCCACTTGTGACCCTCCTGCTTCAGCCTCCCAAGTCACTGTAATTATACGCTTGTACCACCATGCCTGACTCTGAGATTGAAATTTTATCTATCTTCAGCACCAGTATCATCCACTTGATTTGACTTAACAAGTCAAAAACAACTTTAGCTGCAATTCCTTTTCCTTGGCAGAAATGATCTGCTCATGGGCAGAAGWGAGATGCAGGGGTGTGATAGAAGACAGCAGTATGAATCAGGGCCACTAAAAATCGTGTAGTTTTCCATTTTTTTCTTGGACAATCAATCCTACTCCACATTCCTTCTGTATTTTTAACACACACCTCCCCCCCCCCAACTACCACCATTAGTACTGGGAATCAAATTCAGGGTCTCTAGAATGCAAGGCAAGCACTCTACCACTGAGCTACACCTCCAGCCCCTCTGCATTTGGGTGTGGAGGGGCGGTTCTGGGAACTGAACCATATCCCTGGTCCTTTTCATTTTGAAACCAGGTCTTGCTGAGTTGCTGAGGCTGGCCTCAAACTTATGATTCTCCTGCCTCAGCCTCCCAAACTGGTTAGAATACAGGCATGTGCTGCTGCACCCAGCTGCCATAATTCTCAATGATTTCAATATTTCCAATACTCAGGCCTCTCAAGGTTTTTTCTGGTACGAGGGATTGAACCCAAGAGCACTCAACACCTGAGCTACATCCTCAGTTCTTTTTCTATTTTAAGACAGTCTCACTAGGTTGCTTATAGCCTCCTTAAGTTGCTGAGTCTGGCTTCAAACCTTCATGCCCCCCAAGCCGCTGGGATTACACGTGTGTGCCACGGCAGTACCCAGCATGCCTCTCAATTTCTTGATCCTCTGTCCTCCAGTGGTATGTTTTCCTCCACCAACCCTTAGCTGCCAATTCCTATGGTATCATCACAGAATTGGCCATTTTCAATAACTGAAACTTTTCCATATTTTCCWTTTTAAACATCCCATTCTCTTATCACCAACTCCTATTTTTCCTGCTTACAATAGCCTGTCCAGCAATTTTTGGGGTCTTTCAGTCTACTGCCCCTGSTGC